GCTTATTAATTTGCTTTTCAGCTGTCCAATATACTTTTGAACTGTTGATCTTTTTAAAAGATGCGTTGTTCTGTTGTTTATCTCAGAAGAAAAATATATTTTAGATTCTTTTTCTCTTTGCTCTATTAAGTCTTTTCACTAGATGTTAGTTCTTCTGCTTGTTGAATTTGGTACCTCTTAATGCTAGTTTTCCTTAAATAGCACTGACACTTTGTTTTATGTTAATTTCTTTTTTATTTAAGAATCCTTATTTTCCTACATATTCACCTATCTTGAGTGATTGAAGAAGGGAAATGGAAGGAGTTGCCAAGACCAGTAGCTTGGGTTCTCACAATGTGGACTCCCCATTTCTCTACATTGGGACATTGCTCTTCCATTCCATTCCTGGTGCCTAGCGAGGTGATTTGTCCTGTGGACAACACAACTGCTTCTTACTTATTAACACAATAAAAAGAGGACAAAGAGATCTAGCTCCTCACTTAATCACCCTATCAACTTCTTATGGTTATTGGCTCTTAGCTTTAAACTCCCCTACAGTTAGCTTATGTCCACACCAATCTTCTCAGCAAGTGTTTTAGAATTATGATATCCTATGGTTTTACTTCTCCATTGATCAGATCTTATTTGTGTTCTATCTTTTGTGATGCTTCAATATTTCTGATTCAGTAATGATACTCTCGATTGTCTTTATAAATTTATTTTGTTTCTTAAACATCTTTTGTCAGTTCAGAGGACTTAGATGAGTGGTAGAATACTTACAAGCACTGGGTCTACCATTTTAATCAAATCTCCCTCTATTTTCTTAATAGACTTAAACTTAGCCATCTTGACTTTGTGCTTCTCATACTACAAAGAACTGTTTATGATACATTGTCCTTTCCAACAATGAAGAAAACATGAACATATTTTATTATTCAGAGCTCAACCCTGATAGGAGAAATGGCTGTTTCCCAAAAGGAAATAATGACATAAAATGAAATATTAGGTGAGAACAGAAGTGTAGGTGAAAACAAGTGTTAATATGGGCAAAAATTAATAACTAGTGTCAGATAATGATTTTTTCTCTCTACAAATTCATGATTCTATTTCCTACTGAATAAGCAGGTATTTAAATCAAATAAAAAGGAGCATGCTTCCAAATTTGGCAGTATTTTTTCACAATGAGCCATAGATATGTTCTCTTCACTTCCTTATAAACACCTAGCCCTGTAGCCTGGTTATTGAAAAGAGCACTGGTTTTAAAACTGTAATTCCCAATTTGTCCACTCAAATTTTCTGACTTTCCACTGATTCGTCTATAAACATTGGATAGAAATATGTATAACACTTGAAAAATTATAAAGTATCCTACAAGCTTAAAGGTGGAAAAAGAAAGATTGTCATATTGCAGTCAAAACAAAGACATTTTTCTGGCTGCATTTTTAGATTTTGCTCAACCCTCCTACACCCCACCCTCCAAAATGATTTTGTCCTTATGGCCCAAGTTTCACTCTCACATCTAGCCATTTGTGTCAGGAAGAAAAACAAAGATAGTGAGTAGGCCAAGTGACAAGTTGTATCTACAGATGGATAAAGGTATGTCCTCTTGCAATGCTCCTGTTTTTGCAATATCTAGTCCAGTTTCATTTTCTGGTATAACGAAAATGCTGTGGGAGGCTTACCTGAGATTAGAGGACATTGACCTTTGGAAGGTGTTGACTGCTCCTGAAGAAACCTCACTGGTACTCAAAGGAACGGGGTGGGGTGAAAATACACCCATGCAGAGGCAGGAAGCATCACAGGTGCAGAAGAAGAGCAGGACAATGCCGCAAAAGAAGGCAATTCTTACCCAAACCAGACCTTGAATTCTAAGCAGTTCCCTCTCAGGGACACATAGACTGCTGAGCTTGTGTTTCAGATCTGGGTTAGAACTCACACCACTCACAAAGAAATGGCTCTGCATGGTTAAAAAAAAAGAACTGGCCTATCCCTTTGACAGAGAAGTTTCAGGTACTTAATTACTAAAAAAATTATATTGAAATGAAGATCATTCCCTACTACAAAGTCTTCTCTGATTCCACAGAATAGGTTAGAATCCCTATCTTGCCCTCAAAGCATTTGTCTCAATAAAAAGCTGGCTGCCCATTTCCTCATAGATAGAAAATCTGGATCTCTGAGCCAGGAGCCTGAAAGTTTGGGCAAGATGGAATATTTTCTCACCTTCCCTCAAGAGGCCATGATAGCATATCTTTATGAGGCTCAATGATGAAATGCCCTAGGTTGTTTCCTCAAGTAACTGCAAAGTTCCCAAAGATGAGTGGACATTCCTTCATGGTCTGGCAAACTGTTGGCCTTAGCTTTCCATATTGTGGGTCATGGTTTTTGTTTTAACTGGGGTTTTGGAGGGAAGCTTGCACAAGTGGGGAAGCTGCCAGCCTGAAGTCACTCTGAAATGACTGCTGGGAAAGTGAACAAAGCCAGAGGCTGGCCAGAGTTCAAGTCACTCACCTTGCTGGGTCTGATTTTCCTCACATGTCAAATGGGTGCTTGAACTCTGCAACGTCTATGTCCCCCTTGCCCTGGTATCCTGTGCATCTTGTGGTTCTATGTTGAAATTAATTTGGGGGGGCGGCACCTGCATGACTCAGTTGGTTAAGCATCTGCCTTCAGCTCAGGTTATGATCCCAAGATCCTGGGATCAAGCCTGGAATCAGGCTCTCTACTCAGTGAGGAACCTGTTTCTCCCTCTCCTTCTGCCATTCTCCCTGCATTCTCAGGGTCTAGCAAATAAAGAAATAAATAAAATTTTTTAAAAAATTAATTTTGTTTTAATATTGTAGACATAGTATTTTGTTTTTCCTACCTAAAGCCAAGTGTTTTCCTAAATCAATTATTAACTTTATTTTGAGTAAGATTTCTCAAAAAAATCTAAAACTAAAATTTCATTTTAGTTTAGTAAGATTTCTCAAAAAAATCTAAAACTAAAATTCCATTCAGAGTCTAAAAATAGTACTTACAGACCTACTTCTCTATTTTCTCTTGATAGTATGAATTTATACGTAATTTCAATTAAGGAATAAGAAATTAGACATAGAAGGACACAAATAACATTTGGGGATATGGAGTAATCCGTAAGTCAGTAAACAGTTTGAAAAAAAAAAAAAGAAATTGTTTGGAAAAGATTTTCCTGAAATTATACAATCTCCTTTTCTCTCAAAAATATGTCCCTGTTAGAACATAAATGGGTATAATTATCATAACTTTGTAGCTTTAAATCTTAATAAAACTTCTATCAGGATACTTAGCTATTAGAGGACAAATACATTTGGTATGAATTTTCAACTTAAAGATGTAACCAGTAGGGTGCCTGGGTGGCTCAGTTGGTTAAGCGACTGCCTTTGGCTCAGGTCATGATCCTGGAGTCCTGGGATCGAGTCCCACATCAGGCTCCCTGCTCAGCAGGGAGTCTGCTTCTCCCTCTGACCCTCTTCCCTCTCGTGCTTTCTATCTTTCATTCTCTCTCTCTCAAATAAAAATAAAATCTTTAAAAAAAAAAGATGTAACCAGTAAAGTTGTCCTTTTCATCCTCCAAATTTGCATGCAATAGATAGTCCCCAGTTATGTGCTGGGCTTGTGGTTATAAACATTCTTTTTTATAGATAATCACAACTCCCTCCCCAGAAATGATGCCATTGCCACTGAAAACCTAATGATGTGGCAAAACAGACTGTGGCTTGGATGCAACCACCAGCCACCAGAGCCTGCAGATTCTATATATTTTCCTCCGGAATGGATCAGCTCAAGAGATGAGTAAGCCAAACCAGTAGCACAAGAAGGTCTTCCACAAAGCCTTAGCCCTGGTCCTCCTTGTTCCCTCAGGAAATTAGCTCTATTCCATAATAGGAAGACCGAAGAACTCAAAAAGGATGGGAGAATAAGAAAGCTCCCTCCTGGTTATTCAGTGGTTCTCTATTGAGTCTAGGATAATGTGTGAGTTCTTCATCCAGACCCTTAAAGGTCCCACTTTCTGTGCCCAACTGGATATTGCCACCTTAACACACCACAGGGAATAGTAGTGGGGTGGGAGCCATTATAGATCAGAGCAGAGTGACAAGATCTCCCTTATGTATTATTTTTACTCATTCTCCTCAGAAGCACCCTACACTTCCAGCACAGACCCATTCATCCTGAGTGCCTTCTCCAAGCATCCCTGCCCAAAGCAATCTCATTCCACCTTCAGTGCCCAGCTTTGAGACCCCTCCTACATAGAGCTACCTTGATTCCTCCAGCAGGATGTGACTCTCCTTCTTATTCTAATCTTGCAAATGCCCAAAGTACTTGGCTTAGACCAAGGTTTTGTATTTTCTGCCTTGTACTATTAAGAGTTAGATGACCAAAAGTTAGATTATGTTTTTCTTTGAGGCTCAGCTGGATTGCAAACCCCTTAAGCATGGCTTACATTTTATACAGCAAAATAGCGCTGCTACTTCAACTGTGGGAGAAGCCAGGTGCCTCCACAAGTTCATCAACTCAGTTTCTAGGCCCTCGGCTATATGACAGCCAGCCAACTGCCAAGAGTTTTGTCAATAGGTCCAAGATCAAGTTCATCCACATTTCTGAAAACATGAGTGGGGATATTCATGTTCAAAAAAGTTAAGACCAATTATCATCCAACAACTTTTCTCCAGCTAAACTCCTTTGACATACACATCTATTGTTACTTTTCAGATGGAATCCTGTGGGGATTCATTGGGTCCACCACTCATTTGGGGACTTATTTGTGTTGCCTTTATCTTTGCTAACTTTCTGTGCCACATTTACTTCCTTCCACTAAAATGTAAGTTCTTTAGGAATGGAGGCCTCACAGAGTTCTTTGTGGACCCACATGTCCCCTTACCTATAGGCCCTTGAACCAAAACTATTTGCAGGTGGACTATTTGCATGGCTCTTCCAGCCTTCAATTGCAAATAAAATACAAAAAGCAGGAGACCAAAGATAAACTACTGCCTCTGTTGTAACAGGATTTTGTGCCGCTTTATCAAAACTTTGAGAATTTTTACACGCGGAACCTGTACATGAGAATCAGAGACAACTGGAACCGGCCCATCTGCAGTGCCCCGGGGTCTCGGTTCGATGTGATGGAGAGGGTGTCGGATGACTACAACTGGACATTTAGGTGAGGCAGCCTTCTGGAGGGGCTTGTTTGAGAGAAATCCTTCCCAGGAAATCCTAGCATGGGCACCAAACTACAGAAATGATGAACACCAAACCATGGAATTTGCTGGTCTTCCATCACTGAGCCCTTTGCAAGCCCTCATAATTCCAGTGAAGGAAGTCACGGTAATTCAGCTGCCAAGGGTGGCTATGTTAGATTAAAATAAAGCGTGTGTCAGAAAGTGCAGGATACACAGAGCCAGCCAGGAAGAGCCTTTTCAGCCTTATTGACAAATTATACCCCCCTACTTCTTGCTGAAGGAGACAGTGATGATCATGGCTCTTTCTCACCTAGAAAGTTCTTGCTGGAATTTTACCAAGAACACAGGTATCACAGAAGTGAGCACCCAAGGAAAACCAGGGCTAAATAATACTCCATGGCTTGTGATACCTTTTTCCAATGCTCTGCCCGGCTTCATTTTGGGGTTACTGTCTTCCAAAGGCAGACCATTTTGTGTTGACAGCAATTCACATCAGAAAGGAAAAAGAAAATATATGATTGGGGCCAGACCCAAGATCTCCTTGTAAGAGTCTTTTATGGGGCACTAGGATGATGTTAAATGAGAAAGCCCTTTGTGGTCTTCTCTCTGCAGGTTCACTGGAAGAATCATCAAAGATGTCATCAACATGGGCTCATATAACTTCCTTGGCCTGGCTGCTAGTTACGATGAATCTATGAGGACAGTAAAGGATGTTTTAGAGGACTATGGCTTAGGTGTGGCCAGCACCAGACATGAAATGGGTATGTATGTTCATCATTTTGAAATTTTGTCCAGTTGGTCCTCAGATTCTTTATGACAACTTCTCAAACCTGGATCGTATCTAGACTGTGTACCTCAAAAAGCTGTTATAAATTGCAAAATGAGAAAGGTATCTGAAGTTCTTTTTGGAAATTTCAAACATTATGCTCTTGCCATGTAGTTTATTAATTACAGGTTTTAATTCTCCAGAAAAAAATAAAAATAGATCTTTCTTTAGACCACATTACCTAAAATAGCAACTATTGTGCCTCTTCCATCTGGTCCTTTTCTGGATCCTTCCCACACTTTTTTATTTTTTTAAACAGCTTTAGTGAAATATAATTGATATTGTTAAAAACTGTACTTGATTTATACAATTTGATGGGCTTAGACATATAAATACACTCTGAAACCACCACCCCAATCAAGGTAATAAACATGTCCATCACCTTGGAAAGTTTCTTTGTGTCCCTGCTTTTTGTGGTAAGAACACTTAACATGAGATCTACCCTTTCAATGAATTTTTAAAGTGCACAATGCAGTATTAATTATAGACACAATGTTGTACAGCAGATCTCTAGAACTTACTTATCTTGCATGACTGAATTGTATATCCATTGAACAACTTTTTGTTTAGATTTTGCTCTTTCTTAATGATGTCCATCACTGATCTTGCTTTTGTATTTGGATATTGCCCATCACTGCTACTAAAACATAAGCTTCATGAAGGGAGGGATTGAATTGGCCTTGTTGTCTGTCATGTTGAATGAATGAGTGAATGGGGATGAATGAATGGGCAAGGTGAAACAGACTGCCTATTTGTTTCTCTTTTAGCTGAAACATTTTTCTCTTATTCAAAGGAGTGAAATCTGTGAGAAGGAAACTTCTGGTCCTCTCCACCTCAGGGAGAAAGAGTGATGCAAGCTTCCTCCTATAGAGTGTCTTGCTATTCCTGACACAGTGTTTTCTTATATGTCATCTCATTTATTCCTCACAAAAGTCCTCTGCTCAAGGAGGCAGCATAGGCGATGTTATTTCATCTTCTAGAGGAAAAAATAGGATCACAGCGACTAAGTGATGTCCCCCCAGTGGCTTGTTAATCGTACTAACTCCCAGTCTAGCTAGCTTCTCCTAAGACAGCATTTTCCCACCCAGAATGATGTATGCATGGTTCACCATGTCAGTTTCAGGCCAGTCTAAGAACCCAAGGTAAATCTACTAAAAAGGGATTGACCATTAATGAAAAATGAGCCATGTGCCTCTCTTAGATATCCAGTTGACAAAAGAGCATTAAAAACCCATGCGACAAAGAACAATTTAAGTTGAACAAAGTAACTTTTTTAATACATACATTCAGTTAACATTTAGCAAAAGCTCCAGAGTTTATAAGTGGTTGGCCAGATTTCTTAAGAAAGGCATCTTACTTATGTTCATTTTGAGGCAGGAGGGCTGCAGATATGAGCAGAATGCAGAAGGAAGGTTCTACTTTACTTAGCAGAACTGGATCACCCATAATATGCCATTTGGGATGGGGCAGAGACTGGAAGACTACCCCCAGTCATAAAAGACATGGAGTCAGTAAGCTTTGGGGATATTTCCTCTGGTGCTGGTGACACCCAACACCAGGATTGTGGAACCCTTCTCAGTCACAGCCAGCAGAAGCTAAACCTGATACAGATAATGGTTTCCTGCCTATGGAAGCCAGATATGGAATAGGAGTTCCTGATTCTGCAGACTCAATGAACCAGAGAAGCCAGGCAGAGATGAAAATCATAGTTTCAACTGCCTGCAGCCAAGGTTCTTTCTCCACTTCCTCAGCCTTCTGAATGGCTAGACTTTTAATGTTTACCTGTTTCACTTAGTCTCTGGCTCAAGCTCTAGGAAGAAGATTTTAACAGTTTTCAAGGAAACAGTAAGAGAGCAAAATAGAAGCCACCCACACTAATTTTAAGCAAACAGAAGAATTGATAACAAGGATGGATATGAGCAGTCAGAAGATAAAGAAGTAAACGGGGTGCATTTTAAAGTATTGTGCAACATAAGCAGTAACCTTAGCATAGCATATAAAAATTAGTAGCATAATTTTGAATGCCAATTATTTCAAGAAATACAAATAACTTTTAGAAAGCATAAGCTATCTAGTCTTAAGAAAATGTTTAACAGTGCCAGTGGATTGTCAGTGAAAATTTGAGAATATAGACGCTTACCAATTTAACAACCAAAAATGCTCCTTGAGGAGCCCAAAGAAAAGGTTTAGGAACATTTAATCACTTGAGTACTTTCCCAGAGCTTTTAAAAATAGTTTCCAATGTTCTGAAGGGAAAAACACACAAAAATCATATTACAAAATAGGAAATTAAACAAAAAAGAAATCAAGAGGAAGTATTAAAACACAGTGAAAGGAGAGAAGACCACACACGGTATCTTGGCCAAAAATATGTGAGAAGAACATATTTGCCCACTGAAAGAAAATGACTGAGATTTTGCCAAAAACCCAAACTCAGCTACATGCTATAATCACAAACAAATACAAGTAAATTTAAGTTATTCCTAAGAATGAAAAGAAGAAATATAAGTCCCAGCCAGACACCTGGTTCTCGCCTCCCTGCTGCAACCACCACTAAAATGAACTCAGTGCTCAAGAGAGAGGTCAATTCAATAAAAAGCACAACAAACAAAGAGCTCTAGAGTAAAGTTGTGTGTCCAGTCTGCATCTGCAAATGCTAGGACTGAAACTGAAATACAGCTGAGCTGTAAGGAATGAAACATTTCCAGACACATAGGTACAGAATTGCAAATGCTGTTTTTAACATGTGGAATGATGTGCTGCTGTTATTTTCATGTACAACTAAAAAATACTGGCATACAGAATTAAGGGAGACTTTGACTGTCTCGTGGTCAATTTAATTTTCCATAGCCTGATGGAAGGGATGGCACATTTTTTTGATATCCTAAATATGAGGCAGAGTGAAATGGAAATTTGGAGTCATAATCAACCATTTAAAATGCCTGACACATTTTTAATTCTTATCCTCTATATTCATGGGTGCATTTTTATTAGAATTCTCCTTGATCTGGGCTGTCTCCTTCAAATTGTGTGCCATGTGTCATAACTTTGGTAATTACAGACTAGTTTTTCCTAATAACTTTCTTAATGTGCTGTGAAAGATTAGAAATCTTTGAGTATTGCTGTGTGTGATATTACGTTGTGAACTAGTGAACTCTAGACTGAATAGCTTATCAAAAGTTGAAGAGACTGCTGCTCAACATCCTCTTTTTAAGGTGGCTTGCTTCCAGATTTTTAGCTGGAAAATCACTTGAATAACTGTTTACAGATTCTAAAATTACATGGATTTTTAGATTTTCAGCACCAGGATTGAGAATTGTTCATGATGTCTGAGTATTAACAGAAAACAATAATCAGTAATATCTCCATTATGCAAGTATTTCCATATTTGATCTTTGAATTTCTTTATCTGAAAAAAACTATTTAATTTTTCTGTATGTGGAAGGTGTTTGTCTGAATATGTTGGTTGGACAATGAAAAATGTAATGCAGCAGGCTCTGAGGCAAAGTAAATGCATAATTGCTTGTTCTTCTTTCATATTAAGCCAAAAAATAAAGAACAAGCTGAAACTTTAAAAAATAAACAAACAACATAAATGTGTGGTACAAATGCAAACAAAAAGGAAAGCAGAAGGTAAGTTTAAAATTATTAGTTGTTATTAAACATAGGAAGAGACTCACCTTATAAAAATTATGTGGAGAGCCCATAATGAAGACAGATTCAAGTCCTATATCCTTTATGCATCAAGTAACACAGTGCAGACATCGATGGCTGTTATTTTTCTGTACACCTGGAAATTAGGAGAATGAATTATGAGAGGCTTTGAAAATCATGTGGGTCAATTTAACATTCTACAGGCTGATTATAAACAAAAGCAAGACAAATAAAATAGTGATAGGAGACCACAAAGTACCTTCCAGTCCTTGAAAAGGAAAGAAGGAAAGAAGGGAGGGAGGGAGGGAGGGAGGGAGGAAGGAAGGAAGGAAGGAAGGAAGGAAGGAAGGAAAGGAAAGGAAAGGAAAAAAGGAAAGAAGGAGGGAAGAAAGGAGAGAAGGAAGGAGGGAGGAAGTGAAGGAGGAAAGGAAGATATAAAACATAAAGGACACTAACAATGCAATTAGTGACTTCCATTTAATATTTATATATTGAATTAAGAGCCTTAAAACATATTACCAGTATACCTCATCTTTTTAAATACCTAGTGAATTTTCACAAAAATTTACTATATTTTATGCCACAAAGAAAACCTCATTAGATTCCAAAAAGTGGAATTTACATAAGTCACATTCTTGGATCACAGTGAAATAAAGGTAAAAATAAATAATAAAATTAGAAACAATTCCTTTTTAAAAAATCTCTGGAATGTTTTAAAGCCCTTTCCTAAGAGACTCTTGAGTCAAAAGGGAAATGAAATTACATTTACATCATATTTAGAAATTAACAACTGTGAGAACACCATAGGGTCCAGCTAATTGTGTAATCAGAGGAAAATATATAGTCTTACTTTACTAAAGACGAAAGATTGAAGCTAGCAAACTAAGCTACCCATGCAGTAAAGAGTAAGAGGTAAGCAAAAGTATTGAATTTTTAAAAAATAAAAACAGAAACTTATTAATTAGAGAAGAATAGTTTCTATTGGGCTGAGGCATCTGTGTTTTAATAAGTCACTAGAGGTGATTTCAATGAGCGGCAACCAGAGTTGGCAACCACTGAACAAAATTTGACAAACAAGCACTTAGCGAAAAAACATATGTATGGAATTGACATTGCAAATCAAACAGTGTACTCAAATAACAAGATACCATGATCAAGTAGTTCATTTCAGTTACTATGAGGATAGTTAGCTCAATAATAAGGCAATTCATAACATTGAATAATCCTAGAAGAAAACATATGATTATCTTGATAGGTGACACTAAAGCATTTGTAAAATTC